CGGGGGGGTGGAGGCTGGTGCAGCGTCTTCCCCTGAGGCCACAGTCAGAGGCAGAGCCAGGATTTGGACCGAGGCAGCCAGACCTCAGGAGGAACAGGAGCCACACTGCCCACACTGGCCATCGACTGTGCCCCCGTCCCACGGGCGCCCTGGCAGCAGTGCGCCTTCTCCCTCGCAGAACCCCCATGTGGAGACAGTGGTGACCCCGCTGTCCAGACAGGGCCACGTAGCAGCAGGATCAGGAGCCCAAGGCCCGTGTCTGGTGCGCTTCCTCGTGGCTCCGACAGTTTCCGGGCACCACTCTGGCAGGGGCGTCTGCAGGTGCAGAGGTGCTCAGGGTGTTGACCTGGAGCCAGCTAGACTGGAGGCTGCAGGCGCCCGCTGCCGTCCCCAGCCCAGGTGCGGGCTGTGCCCGCTGGCCTCTGCTCCCAGGGCACCGGCCCCTGCATTCGCTCACCCTCCCCACAACCAGAGGCCCCGAGTGGAGACAGCCGCTGGGGTTAAGGCCTCTCTGGCCAGGATGACTGCTAACCTGGGGTGGGAGCGGACGGGGGTGCCGTGCCTGCATCTGTGAGCCTGGAGGGGGTGCCCAGGAAGCGGAAGAGACGCGAGACGGCACAGTGTCCTCTCGGGGCCTCCGTGTGTGCCACCTCAACGGTGGTCCAGATAGCCCAGAGCCAGGTTTGTGGGGGGGGGGGGTGTTCCAGAATGAGCTTCTTTCCCTCACCCAGCGCCTCAGCTTTCACCCCCTGGTGACCACCTGCAGGGCAGCGCCCTGGCTGTGCTGGGCACAACGGGGAGCCTCCGACCCTGCCCCCATTCCTTTAGCCTCTCCTGTGTGTTCACTGAACCCCACTTCTCCCACCCCGGGGCCGGATGCTGCCTTTCACACAAGACCTGAGCAGGAGGGGCTGCACAAGCGTTGCGACGGCCCTCCCCTGCCCGCCCCACCCCAGATTGTCCGGCTGCTGAGGGTCGCTCTTCCTCTGCGCACGCGAGCAAGTGTCTTTTCCTTGCATTCCAGGCGGCGCCCTCGGCAGGACACGGCGGCTCCAACAGGTAGGGAGAGAAGCCGTCGCGGGCCTCACCACCCTGCTGCCCCTTCGCCGCTTCCTGGCCCCCCAGCAGAGAGGAAGTAGTCACGACACTGCCCCCAACTCCCAGAGTTTCCTCCCTGAAACTCCCTGGGTTTTTATGGGTTTGTTTTATGTGAAAAGCTGGCGAATCTCTGGCGAGACATCGGCTTGTAAAGAGAAAGAAAAAGCCTCTGAGATGGTGGTGTAGATTCAGAGCGAGGCGAGGCGGCCGTGCTGGGAGTTGGGGGGCTGGAGAGCCCGGTCCTCTCCCCGACACCCACCTCCAACGCCGAGGGCTCTGGGAGGGGCCCCTCAGCCTCGGGAGGGCCTCTGGGCGCCCCCTCGCAGCCTCAGCCTGGAGAGCTGCTGGAGGGGGCAAATGGCTTCTCTGGCAGGAGGCAGCTGTGGGGGGACCGTGGGGACGTGCAGTCTGTGCGTGGGAAAGTGGCTCCGTCTCTGTTAGCTTTCCATTCCCTGTAACCGAGAGGCCTCTTCACGGGCGCTTTCCCGTCTACCTGTGTCGCGCCACTTCACAACAGGCCACGTCAGGCAGGCAGGGCTATCACTGTGCTTCGGGTGAGGGAACGGAGGCTCAGAGA